AATTTGCTAGATTTATTCTGTGACCGATCTCTTCTGAGAAGAACCTGATGCCACGGGCCAAGTCTTGTGGTACCTGAGATTGTGAATCTGCTGGGGAAGGTTGGATTTGAAAATAGTTCATAACAGACCGGGGAATGTAATGTTTGGAAGTATTAAAGTGGATCCACCAATGGAGTGGATATTAAGAGGCCTGCATTTCAATCCCATCTCTACCACTAACACATCTGGTGACAGCCATCAAGGTCATCGATTTCCTGATCCGTAGAATTAGAGGTGGCATTTTTCAAATGCTTTGTAGTCATTGTTGTTGGTTTTGTGTATGTTTTGTTTTGTTTGTGCATTTTTTCTCGAGAAAAAGCCTACACCTAAGTCCAACAGGTAAGACAACTAAAGACAGAACCATTCCATTGCACACTCCAGGGGGGAGCCAAGCTGTGGCCAGCAGTCCTCTGCTCCACTGTCCCCTCAGCTGTCACAGCACCAAGAAGAGACCACACAAACATATGGGAAGGATGGTAGCTGAGGTCTCCTGATTTTTATTTTAATAACTAAATATAGGGAAACCCATCTTGCTTGATGAAACACAGCTAGGACAGCCAGGTATTAAAAGAGTGATTAGCACTGAAAGACTGCTAGAAAAAACAGCCTGGGTTATTTCAATGTAACCTCTGGTGCTGTGAGAGCATTTAGCTCTCAGCTCAAATAAAATTTTGAAAGCTCTACTTTTCTATCCCCTTTTTGATGCATGTTGTGTTTCTGAGCATTTCTGTTCTGCAATGCAGCTGATGTGTTACCTCAGGTCCAAGATCTGAATACCCTGACGGTCTTCACAGTGGTTTGTGGGGAGCCCCCAACATCTTTCAAACATTTCTTCCAGGTGCAGAACAGAAAAGAAGGCTACCACCTGAAAAGGCAGTTATTCTATTTTCCAGTGTCAACCCTGAAGCTCTAGACAAGGGGTCTTGCTAACATTATCTGCTCAGCTGTTCAGATTTGAGAGTCTCACATATGGAAGGTTTTGTAAGAGGCCAGAGTGTCCATCTCATAGCTGAGATGCAGACATCAGTCATTTATGTCAGATAGTTAAGTGGTCTAAACCTCCTTCTCGTGTCTTTTCATTATGTGGATATCTATGAGGAGAGCTGGGAGGCAGGAGAGAAACTTGTGTGGGGAAGAAGTGGTTCTTGACAGGATTGGAGAATGGGTCAGCTCAACAGCTACAAAGTCTACCCAGACTATTTAGATCTTGAAGGAAACTGTGGAAATATCCAGCAGTTACATACTCACTCCCTGTATCCTTCCCCCAAATAAAAAATAATGGTAAGTTTATAAAGATGGCAATAAATAAAAAAATGAGAGAACAGATGACAGTGAAATATGAAAGAGAAATGTAAATCTGAGAGAAATATTAAATTGTTTAAAAAACCCATAATATGTGAAGCTAGGGTGAAGTATTTATATTTATTGCTAGATATAGAAACTTATTTTCCAAGCACTATATTTCCTTAAAAGGAAGTAAAGTCAGCCACATGACAACTGCTCCTATTTGCAAGTGACAGCTATTTCATATTTTGACTTCTAACTTTTTTTAGTCCTTAAATTACATTTTTTCATGTCTCTTTTTGTTCTGCTCCTTTGACCTAGCCTGGAAAATTTGAAGAACATTTCTTTCTTTTTTTCACTCCAAAAAGCCCTTATAAATTTATTTTCTTAAGCTCAAAGTACAAAAATAATGATATTTTCAAAATGAATGTGTAAAGGAATTTTCATTTGCAATCTGATAGGATAGCATAATTAAAATCCCTGATTCAAAGCAATCAAACTTATTCTTTTTTCAAAAAATCCAACTGTTTACATTAGAAATCCCCTACCATTTGTTTTATATAGGACTTGTCAATGTACAGACTGTACATTTTGCAGCTCAGACTCAGGCATCCATAACCCATTGCTAACAAGTGCAGTTCCTGACCACTACGCTCTCGTCTAGGACTAGCAGGGAATACCTCATGCTTGGGGATCTGAAGTATGTGTCACCCTAAAGGTGTAGAGAGTTGCAAAACCTCTTCTTTTTTGTTTTGCTTTGTTCTTGGTATGTAGTTAGTTTTCAGCAACACTTTGCTTTCATGAGTTAATTTGAGTGTGTGTTAATTAGTGCATATTTCAAAAATTAATAAAAGTCAGTCTCACTATATATCTGTGTCAGTAAAAGCAGGTTTCACTAAACAGAGTTATGTACCACGTAAGGATGTTCCAGTCAGTGACAGACTATATACAGCAGGGGATGCATAGGGTCATAAAGCAGCTGAACATTTCCTATTACCTAGTGACGTCACTGCCATTGTATCATTGTTTAACCCATCAATCAAGAATTAAGGTGGTGCGTAGACAAGTTTACTGTGCTGACAATTGTACAAAAGTATAGTGTGTACAATTATGTATGGTACTTACTACTGGGTAATAAACAACTGTTACTGGTTTATGTATTTATATATATCACATTTATATCATTAGCATGTAGTCCTACTTATGCAAAAATGTTGACTGTACAACAGACTACAGTGTTATACCAGTGGCAACATCATCTAACTCAGGCTTACCCAGTCTCTTAATTACATCAAAAGGCCACAAATGACAGACTTATCCCATCATGGTTCATTTAGGATTACACTCTGTGTTGCTTATATGGTGACAGAATTGTTTAGCAATGCAGTTTTCATAATATATCCTCATTGCTAATTGATGCAGGGCTGTATTTATTTGACAGTTAACAAAGTGCAACCCAACTTCAGTATTCTATTTTGGTGCTTTAAATGTAAAGAAATTAAGAAACAAGTTTGGGCAGATAAATAAAATGACGTCTGAGCATAAGAACATGGTATAATGCAAATGAGAAATAGAAGTATAATTCTGAGCAGTGTATATCAATGCATTTGCAACGTTTTACACAGAATTTAAAATGGCTTTCTTTTTCAAGGAAATTTCTGTGTTACAAGTTAATTTTTAAAATTTTTATATTACTTTGAACTACCTCCTCCTTAAAGATTGTCTTTTTTTTTTCCTAATGTGAAATGTCCCACAGCCAATTCTTTTTTTTTTAATGCCTTTTTTTTGTTATTTATTTTTATGTGGTGCTGAGGATTGAGCCTAGTGCCTCACATGTGCTAGGCAAGTGTGCTACCACTAAGCGACAACTGCAGCCCCCCACAGCCAATTCTTTTTAAGTGCTCACTCTGTGTTGGATACTGTTCTCAGCTTGTTGTAGGTATATGGTATCTCATTTAATTTCTATAATAACTTCATGAGGCATGAGTTCAGGTCTTATTATTATGTTATTTGGTATCTGAAGATTAGAGAGATTAATTTGCTAAAGGTCACCCAGTTAGTGACAGCTGAGGACAAAATTTGAACCCTGGAAGTTTGAGTTCAGAACCACCATATTAAGTCACTACAGTGTTTCATGGATTAAGACTACAGCTGGATAATCTCTGTGGGAGTGTAAGAAAACAATTACACAATTATGACTGAAATACACCTCAACTAGAACTCTATTTCCTTCCTCTGAAATTATTAAGGCTTAAGAATGAAAGCAAATGAATCATCTATGACTTTCTCTAACAAAGAATCATCATTACCCAGTAATTTTTGTATGTATACTGCAATATCAGTCATTCTTCTGGGCCTGAGGGGTTTCTAGGTTGGGTAGGGCTTGTTCATCAAGGGCACCACTCAGAACACCAGTTTGACCACAATGATATTCTATCACATCAAAATACATCCTCGCTGGGCGTGGTTGCCCAAGCCTGTACTCCCAGTGGCTTGGAAGGCTGAGGCAGGAGGATCACAAGCTCAAGGCCAGCCTCAGCAACTTAGTGAGGCCCTAAGCAATTTAGTAAGACCCTGTCTCAAAATAAAAAATGAAAATAAAAAAAAATTAAGAAAGGGCTGGGGCTGGAGGTCAAGCCTCCTTGCGTTCAATTCCTGGGTTCAATTCCTTGGAAGTTAAACGTCCCTGGATTCAAACAACAACAACAATAACAACTCAGCCTCTGTGGATGCTGGGAAATTGTTGACTCATGCTCAAGAAGGAGGCTCAACCATAATCACTTGAGCCTTTGAATAAATGTGAAGTGGTTACAGGAGAACCAGATGACCACGGCTAGTCCAGAAGTTCTAAATTGGATCTCAAAGGACCACAAAACTTAGGGTTTCAAGGAAAGTTTCATTAAGTCTAACATCCCCCTGAGGACTCTCATCTGCATAAATGTCAGGACTTGGAGTCCTACTGATTTTCTCACTGAAAGGAACTTCAGGATTTGGAACTGGGAAGATTCCAGAAGGTACCTGAGCACCTCGATGGGACCTGGCAAATCAGTTTGTCTCTCTCATTATCATTCTGTCAGTAAGGAAAACCAAGAACAAAAAGAAACCTCAGAGCCTGTCAGTGATAAAAAGCAGGTTTTCTGTATCTACTTTCTGAGTTTTTGGTGAACTGACTTGGCCTTCATTCCAAGCATGGCCTTTCAGATTGGTGGTCAGGATCTCTGCTCTTCCCTCTGTGCTACTGGGAGGGGTTCTACTCTGAAGTTGCCACCCTGACTGAATTACCTGGCCATGAGGAACCTTAATGATCAACACCCCAGGAGGAAGCGCATAGTGAAAAACCACACTCAACACTACATGGAACACTACCAGGGATCGTCTTCATGTTCTCATACTACCATGATTCTGGTGAATACTGTTTTTTTACAAATAAATAACTATGATCTTATTGTTACCCAGAAGGTTTAAGATTCATAGAGAAAAACTTGACACAGTTTTCCATTCTTTACCTATCGATTTAAGTGTAGATTCTGAGGAAATTAATATTTTGCTAATGAATGTTTGCATGAGACAATGATCTGCAGTAATTCCTACTTTCAAAGCAGTGGGGGGGGGTGGGGGGAGACTGTTAAGGTCCAGCACGCATGCTCAGGGCGCACGGTACCGACAGCGCCACCTACCAGGAGCAGCTGCAACAGCAGCACCAGCAGAAGCAGCACGTGTTGTTGGGCCTCTGGTTTCCGGGCGCTTGAGCCACAGCGGGTGCTCCTTCATTCTGGGATTGCTGCCTTTTTCGCATTGCAGCTTCTTCAGTACTCAACTGGCTGAAAGAAGGGAGAAAACACAAGGTATGTAACAAATTGCCATAAGGATAAGTTGCCTCTGCAGAAGGACGCATCGTGTCCTGAAGGGAGGAAGGAGGTAATTTACGAAAAAGTAAAACCAGTCAGGTAAGTTTTAGCAGTCAGACCAATGTTTTAGAATATTATATTCTGAAAACTTTGGGGACAAAATTCTACCATGATCTGCTGCATAAATTATAATAATTATGCTGCTGCAAAGTCAAAACCATTGGTCAGGTGAATATGATAAGGATTGAAAATTTATTTTGAACTAATTTCTTTCCTCAAGAATGCTTAAATCTTCTTTCCTTAAAGTGATCACAGGGGTGAATGTAACTCGTTTCTCCACTGCTGTTTGCAGTAAGGCAAGTGGAGCTTTACAGATCACTGTTGCAAAGTTTCTAACTCTATGAGCATCATGGGGAAGATTAGGTTTGTGTTGGGTGCTCTCTCCCCTCCTTTTTAACACATGATCTCCTTGACTGAATATCTATCTGACTCATCCTCCAAGGGCCTAATCTTGAAAGCACTGTCAACAGGACCTCCATTTGGTTGGGTGGCCCTGTTGGAAAGGCATCACCTCCCTTCCGCCAGTCTTCAAATTTTAATTTCATTTAGGAAAGGATGGAGGAAGACAAAAAGCCATCAAAATGGGGGAAATTATTTTGGTGGAATTCATATGTCATAGCAGAATTTAAAAAAAAATACTAGGATACAGAATGCTCTACTTGTAACCCTATGAATCAGGACAATGACTTGCCTCCTACTGATACAGTCTATCCTGATCTAGGACTACATTACGGTTGTTTTTTTTTTAAATTTTAGTTCAGTAGAATAATGTCAAATTAGCATGAACTCTCAGGATAGAAATTAATTCTGTTGAATGATGCTTTTCACAATATGCAATGTATGTAAATCATACACAATTATTGTCATATTTATGGCTAAAAATAACACTTATTAAGACTATAATATGTAACAGGTGAGCTTTTAAAAATTATATTTTTATTTCTGAATACAATGATAGATGATCTTTTCTTGAAAATAAGACATCCTTTTAGACCACAGTGGTAGATAAATAGGGGCTAAAGCCATGGGTACCTTGTAGTTCACATGTGGAAACAAAAGGGCAAAGGTCCCACTCCAGTGGGGTATGAAATGCCACACCATGAGCAGTGGGAGACAAACTCTAGGCTACCTGCATGTAATCAGGGACTGTGGTTCTGTCACCCACATAAGAAACTGTCTAACCATTCAATGGCGCCTAACTGCAGCAGAGGGAAGTAGGGAAAGCCATCCAGATGGGACCTGTGCTGTTGTGGTTTCAATCTAGGAAAGCCCCAAGAGTTAGGCAGTGTAGCAGTGGTCAGAGGCGAAAAGGTTGGATTATGAGAGCTTTAACATCATCAGTGGATTCCTCCACTCGGTGGATTAATAATTTGGTGGTAATTGTAGGCAGGTGGGGCGTGGCTGGCCTTGGGCTAGATCTGTCCCTGGCCCCTTCCTCTCTCTGCTTCCTGGCTGCCATGAGCTGAGAGCTTTCTTCTGTCCTGCCTTCCTGCCACGATGTTCAGCTTTACCTCACACGCAGAGCTAGGGGGTCAGCAGCTAACCATCCACTGGGATGTCTGAAACCATGAGCCACAAGAAAATTTCTTCCTCTAAATTGTTCTTGTCAGGTGTTTTGGTCACAGTGGCAAAAAAGCTGATTACCACAGATGCAAAGCAGCCCACTGGTTCAGTGACCAGGCCAGGGCTGTTTCAAAAACCTTTGCTGGGTGGCAGGAATCCTGAAATACCAATGAAAGAGCTGCTTCAGGATGGAGGGTCTTGAGACACTAGTGGAGACACCTGAAAAACCTTCCATTAGGAAGAGTGAGAATGAGAATGACACTTCTCACTCAGTGTGATGCCTGCTGTCAACAAAACAACCACCACAACAAAATCCAAATGAACACTAGAACACAGAAAGCCAACTCAATAATTTGGAGGCGAATATATCTTGACCAAATGCAAGTAAAAGAATCACCTGTAATCAATTTAACAGAGATATATTTAGGTTAAACAATGTGTTCACGGAAAGACTAGTATTCATGAAGGAAACTTAAAAAATTATAAAAAATAGACAAATATTTGTAACAAGAATAAGTGGAAATGGAAAAACCAAAAAACACATAATCATTAAAAAAGATTCAGATAGAATTGTCTCCCAAGAGCAGTACCAAAGAGAATCAGAAATAGTGCCAAAGAATATACACAGAATGCAGCAAAAATACGAAACATAAGTGAATCCAGACAAATAGAGGAGTAACACTGAAAGGCTCCAGAACACCCAGGGAGACTTTCATCATAAGGAGAGAATTAACGGATTGTCAGGGAAGTGGTATTTTAAGGGAAGTTGGCTAAGAAGTTCTTAGCACTGAAAGAAAACAAACAGCACAAAACAAAGACTCACTTTGAAAGAGCACACCACATGCTGAGAAGGATGAATAAAATAAAAATCAATCTACATTTACACATAGGAGAGTAAAACTACAGATCTACAAGATAAAGGGAAAAAAGCTAAATTAGCCACAGAGGAGTCATACTTCAGGTGACTTTTTTTTTTTAATTTTTTTTTTTCAGAGAGACAGAGAGAGAGAATTTTTTAATATTTATTTTTTAGCTTTCGGTAGACTCAATATCTTTATTTTATTTTTATGTGGTGCTGAGGATAGAACTCAGCGCCACGTGCATGCTAGGCAAGCATGCTACCGCTTGAGCCACTTCCCCAGCCCTGTACAGGTGACTTTTAAGGAGCAATATTAGATGCCCAGGACAATGGGCAAGGGGATAATATCATCCTACAACTTCATATTTAGCTAAATAATAATCTAAGAGTGAAGATTATCTCATAAATTCACTGAGTTTATGGTTTAATCTTTGCTGGAATTAACTTCTGTCCAAAGAAAACAAAATTAGAGAAAGAAGTCAGAATATACTAACAACTAAGGACTGAATTTTGTAATATATGACACTGAATTTAATGTCTGGCTAAAACAAAACTCTATCTTTCTCTGTTTAAGACTGCAATAGTTAGGAAAATGGGAGGGTTTCTCTAACCCCTCCATCGAAACTGATTTTGTAGATATCAGAATGTCTCCATATTTTAAAATCTGAGTTATTCTGTCATCTTCTACTGGGCTGCTATAGTTTGAATATGGTTCTTCCTCAACAAAACTCATGTTAGGGCTTAATTCCTCAATGTGATGCTGGTAAGGGGTTGTGGGGTCCTTAAGAAGTAACCAAGCTATGGTTGTTCCCTGCTCAAAGCACTGATGTAGTTCCAGTAACAGTGGGTCAGCTATCATGAAGGGTGTTGTATAAAGCAAGGTTGGCCCTTGTGTTCACTGACTCTTTCGCATATGCCTGCTTGCCCATCTGTTTCTGCCCTGAGCTAAAGCATAATCTTGAATTTCCCAGCCTTCAGAACTATGAGCCAAAATGAAAATTTTTCCTTATAAATTTCCAAGTCTTAGATTATATATTGTAGAAACAGAAAACAAACCAAGTCATGAGCCTTATTAGCAGCACCTGACACTGCAATGCACTGCATAGGTATACCTAATATGCATCAGGTGAATTCATAACCTCCAATGAGATGGCATTGAAAGAGGACTTTTAGGAGGTAATTAGGTCATAAAGTTGGATCCCTTCTGAATGGAATTAATGTTCTTATAAAAGGAATCCCAGAGAGCTTTCTTCCCCTCTTTCTGCCGTGTGAGAACAGGAGAAGCCAATGGTCTACAGTACAGGAAGGACCCTTCACCAGAACTCAACCATGTTGGCACTCTAACTTTAGACACCCAGCTTTGAGAACCAGGAGAAATAAATTTCTGTTGTTTATAAACCACCCAGTCTCTGGCACTTTGTAATGGCAGCCCAAACTGAGCAAGAAAGACACACTAATAACTCCATCCCCTTTGAAATACTTTCTGCCCTTACCTTCATGGCCCACATTCCCCCTGGGTGCTTTCTATTTAACCAGTCACTTCTCACCCTACTTTGCTGTTTCCTTGGCTACAGTCATCTATCCTTAGAACTCTTCTCTGTCATTTCTTTGATAAACTCATTTAGACATTTACTGGATCTACTAGCCTGGTATACCAAGTCTCTAAACTAACATGTCCAATAAAGGTGCTTTTCCTAAATTCAGGACTCATGATCCAACAACCTACTCGACATCTTCTCTTGGCTTTCTCAACCTGTTGTCTCAAACTTCCTACATTCTAAGCTGACTCTATTAGTTTTTCTCCAAAACTTATTTCTCTCCTAGTTTTTCCTACTTTCGAACGTAAAAAGTCTCAAACTTCCAGTTATCCAGATGAAAGACTTGATATTTATTCTTAACTTCTCTATTCCATCCAGATTCCCCATCAGCAGATCAGCAAATGTGAGCCTTACCTGGTCCTCTCCACTTTCCTTTGGTTACTACCACTCCCCAGCTCTTCCCATTCCAATTCAATTCCATTCTGTTTTCAACACAGCAGTCAGAGTGTCTTTTAAAATATAAGTCAAATAATTTCAGCCAAGAATCTTCCTTTCAAATCTGTTCAAAATCTTCTGAAAGTTTCTCATCTTATTAAAAGCCAAATTTCTTGCAATGTAGTCCTTCATTATTTTTCTAACTGTATCTCATTTTGTGTCCTCCCAGTTCTCTGTTTAAACCACAGTGGTCTCCTAGCTGCTTCTCAGTCACATCTGATACAATCATGTGTCAGGACCTTTGCACTTATCCCACACTTGGAGCTCAACTTGTTCAAGTCTTTACTCAAATATTATATTTATTTCATTGAAAGTTTCATTCCATGGAACCTCCCATGACTATCTCGTTTAAAACTATAACTCCTTCACTTCACCCCCAGCCTGACTTATCACCCTTCCCTTTCCTGTTTGATTTTTCTCCACATTATAGATCACAATCAATCATACTACAAGTATTA